CTTCTTACTCTGACCTCAGCTTTCTCAACAGTGTGTATGTTAGGAATATTGTACCTCAACAAAGGTTAAGTGAGTACAGATACACCTAAAGCAACTAGAATAACATCTGCTACACAATGCCATGGAGTAGCTAAAAATTACCACTTATTAAAATGTCTTATTCCTGCCCCTTTTATCACAAAAAGGATAGTTTGTTTATTTGTCTTTGAGACAGGGTCTTGCTATGTAGTCCAAGCTGGCCTTGAACTCTGGCTGTAGCCCTGGCTGGCTTCAAGTCATGGGGATCCTCCTTCCTCAGTCTCCTGAGTGCTAGGAACCAAGCCTGACCTTTTCTTTTGTTTTGCGATAGGAACAAAAAAAAAAGTTTATAAGAGTTTCCATAAAATACTCAAGTAATTTATTGCTAAATATTTTACATTCTGTATGACACAAAGATGACAGCTGAACAGTGAAGAGTTAAACTATGTTAACAAAAATTATAGTGCTCACCAGAAGACCAGTTATAGCTCTCTGATTTTTACTTTCAATATTCCCAGATTTTTCTGTACAAAATTTTTCTTAATGCCTAAGTACCTTTCCTGTAATCAAGATTGCTTTGCTTTGTACTGTAGTCAAAAGACTTCTGAAAAGAACTGTTCTTCACTCCTTTCCTTTCTGAGGCGGTAATTTTCCTGACTAGTATACAGGTACCCTTTCCATCTTCTTTTTCAAGACATTAAAATGTATTACATAACAAGCTCAATGCTAATCCATATATAAACAGTTATAATGAAGCAGAGACCCTCTGAATGCCTACGTGGGTATTAAGTGGTACTTTATACCCTTCCAGCATTAACAATGAGGGCATCCTGCACACTCTTGCCTCAAATTACATGGATTTCCTTTAAGATTATGGGACATACTGTAACAGCATATAATTTTCCAGCACTGTAATTCTTTTCCAATTGCAAGATACCTTAAAATATTACCAGCATCAACGGGAAAAGACCCCCAATTTTCAATTTGACAAAGCTTTATCTTCAGTAAACAACAATTTGAACATGTGTAACTGTAAGAAAATATGGGAATAATGTAACTAATTATTCTGGACTCCCAACCATTTCTAAAAGCAATGAATTACTATTCAAACTGTTATTAGTGGAAAACTAAAAAATTAGAAATTTGCAATGTACCAATAGCAATGCCCCTTTAGTAAGGCAGAAAATACTGATTCAATTGCTTTATTTTTACATAGTAAATTATTTGGCAATAGACTTAATGGATGTATGTAACAGGTAAAACTAATTCTGTACCTAAAACTAATTCTGGACTTTACATTTGCATGTATCTTTTAAGCATTTTAAAATGTCCCAGTCAATAAATTTTTTCAGAATGAAGACCCTGAATAAACACTACATTTACAAAAGCTGAAATAAGCAAACAGTATTTACTAAATCAACATGTACTGTAAACTCAGCAGACTACAATTTTAAATATTTTATTCAACAACTAATTATGTAGGAGGTGTTAAATTCAAAGTCTTCTGAACTTGGAAAACTACACGTAATAAATGTGCCCTTCTTATAAAGTTAGACACAGAATGGTATTAGTCAAATGCAATTCTATTCTGTTTTGTGACATTATTGAAAAAACACTGACAGAAAATATTTAATGTAAATTCGGAAGCAAAAAATATGAGCTGTAGAAGCATGCTTCTGTGAAACAAAGAAATTGATAAACTACATGGTTTTCCCTTGTAATTTTCTCTATACATCTATCAGAAATTCTACACTTATGGTACAGAAAGAATAAGGAAGTAAGTTTCACTCCACAACCTGTATGTAAGCTTGATCCATCAAAATTAAAGCGCAGAAAAGTAATTCCGTCTGCCCTTCCTGAACACTTCAAAACTGTTCCCCAATGTCCTATGGAAATCTAGAACCAGGAAGATTACGCTTTCCAGCAACCGGAAGCCTCTCTGGGTGGCAATGACTCGGGAAGCGAAGTCTAAGAGATGTGATCACACATAGCTCTTCCACCTCTACCGTGTTCGCGACAAACCAGGTACCGTAACCAAGTCTCAGTTTTCCCCCTGCAAACAGTAGCCTCCCATCCCCTGCCTCCAAGGCCGCGGCAGCGGGGAACCCGGGCGGGGGCGGGGCAGACCACGGCCTCCGCACCCCACACTCGGTCCCCGCCCAGCAGAACCGGGCTCAGACAACAGCTGCAGGCACCGTGACACGGGGACACCTCCGGCCCGCCGCACCGCGTGGACTGAGGGCCTCCAGGCCCCTCAAGCCTGCTGCCTCAACCCTGCCGTCCTCCTCTCCACACACTGCTGTTTCCACTTCAGAGAACAGAAGCTTCCCGAGGAGCGCTCAGGGTTTTCCGCACCAAAGCCCGCGCCGCGCCTTCCTCTCCCTCCTCCGCCTGCAGTCCGGACCGCCCCTTGCCCCCCGCAGACGCCAGGCAAGGCCCCGCGCGCGCAGGCTCGAGGCTCCCAAGCTCCTTGGACTCCAGCTGTCTCCCTCCTCACTTCACTGCTCTGCTCCGCCCGAGAAATCGTCTCTAAACACCAGGGAGGGCAGCAAGAGGAAGACGAGTGTGTGCCATGGCAGACGGCCAGGCTGGGCTGCTAGAGCGAGGACTTGGGGCCAGTTGGAGCTTCTATAATTGGGAAGTGAGTATACACGTTCCCTTCCCTCCCGAAACTCCACTGTAGGAACATCCTTGAAAACTGCAGAAGTAGAAGAGAAAATGCGGTGAAGGACACCAAAATGTGAGGTGATGGAAATAAAAGGTACCCATTAGAGGCTGAGCCTGGAATGACCCTTAAGTTCCCAGCCTGGGGCCACTGGGTGGGCTCTTTAAGAGGCGTGGCCTAGCAGGAGGTCTTTAGGTCCTTCTCAGCAGCCTAGGACCCAGGTCTCTTCCTCCTCCACTTTGCTCCTGGCTCTACCCCAGTAAACTGCCACACCACAGGCCCAAAAGCCAGCTGATCTTGGGCAGGAAACTGAGGGCCAGAATAAACTCTTCTCCTTTACATACATACAGAATATTCTCTTGAGCTTAGAGAAGACACAGAAAGCACTATACACAAAACAAAACTCTGACAAATTATATTTCATCAAAAACTAAAAGCATCTGTGCAACACAGATCATTAAGAAAATAACCCGCTAAGCTACAGACTACAAAAAATACGTGCAACATAACTTTAGAAAAATATAATTTGGTTTAAAACAAAAATAATTCATAAAAGATTACACAAATAGACAATAACTACATCAAAAAGTACTCAACAGAGTCCTCAGAGCAAAAACCACGAGAACCAAGACCAAAAACCTCCACCAGGAGATGTAGCTAGGATAGAATGGTGCAGTGATTCCCAGTTAAGGGTGGCTGCCACACTGACCACCCCCCAGCTGTTCTGGGTTATCACTGGCATCTAGGGTGCTGCTTCACATCTCATAATGCACATGGCAACCCACACAGCCAGGAATTACAAGGCTCAGTTCTCTTAGCTGAGAAATCTCAACTGCTGACACAGAAGAGACTAACAGCAAACGGTGCTGAGCATCTGGAGCAATGGAAACTCTAACACAGCCCAAACACTGCCGTCAAACGGTTCCTCCGCTGTAGTGGCTGACACTGTGGATGGCCCCTCACTGCCCACCACAGAGCCAGCCCGGCCTGAAGACTTGCACTCCCAGACCTGGTTGGCTTCTCCAGCCACAGCTCCTAGCTGAGGGACAAAGAGGACTTAACATCTGGGCGTCGTCAATAAAATTTAATTTTATTTATGGAAATCTTAAAAATTTGAAAGCAGAACATGCTTTAAGGTCACTTAGTCCAGTTTATTATCTATGGCAGGAATATCAGAACATTCTTGGCAGTGAAATAACTATCCTTCACCATGAACACAGTCTTTGCAAAACACCACAGATGTTTTTGGTATAGAGAAACTACTAATGCCATATAAATAACAGCTCTTTAATCTTCTCTGTAACTTCAGTTAAACATAGGTCATTATGGATACATAGGCCATTATGGACAATGGCTTAAAACCATCAAAATACAGATTGAAAAAAATGAACTTAAATTCAGAGATATATCTATTTATAAATTATTACAACTTTTTTTAAAAAAAGGGATGAATGCGGGGCTGGGGATTTAGCTCAGTGGCAAAAGCGCCTGCCTGGCAAGCGCAAGGTCATGAGTTCGGTTCCCGGTACCGGAGAAAAACCAAAAAAAAAAAAAAAAAAAAAAAAAAAAAAAAAAAAAAAGGGATGAATGCAGCTGAAACTAGATAAAAATGACCTAAGTCAGCACTATACAATAGAAATATAACCCAAACCTAAATGCAGGTTACATATTTCAGAAAGGCAAAAAGATGATAAAATAAAATGTAGTAATATACACAAAAATATGCATATATATTATGCACATCCTATGCAAAACAACCAAAATACTATCATTTTAACATGTAACCAACATAAAATTTTTAGATTTTTTTTGACACTTTTTTTGTACTGTCTTCAAAATCGAATGTGTATTTTACAGTTAGCACACATCCCCATTTGGGCCAGCATGCCAAACTCCGGAGAATCACATGTGGCCAGTGGCTACTACCCAGCTAGCACTTGTTTATTAGGTCGTCAGGCTTCTGAGCACTTACATGGGTTATTCTATGTACTCCTTCCTGGGCACCTTACAGAGGAAGCGGATTATTCCCTTCTCTTCTCCCTGAGTACCACGCAGAGGAAAGCCCAAGTTCTCACGGATAGCAGTAGAATCAGGGATTCGGCCTCCTCTATTAGCTGGACTCAAAATTTGTGTTCCTAAACACCATGCTGTTGCATATCAAAAGTTGGCTTTTTTTTTCTAAATTACTGAGACATTCAATTAAATCAAGGAGTACTACCTTCGTTTCTAGTGATACACTACTTTTTGAAATTTACACTTCAGATCATATTTTAAAATGATTTAAAATACAAATGATTTAAAATACAGAACGACTCACCATGAGTACGAGTTTCTGATACTTGTGTTTTAGGTCTGACGCGTCAGCAGACGGGTCCGCCCCCAGAACGCTGTACCAATCCCTCTTTGGTATCTGATCCAACGCCATCATCCGTCGAACCAGAAGTGGGCTTTCTCAGAGCAGCTGGATACAACAGGAGTGACAATTTATTAGTCTGCGTGCATCTAAAAAACCCAAGCATTGCCGTCCTAAGTTCTTTACTATTTGGCTGAGTACATCATGATTATAATCCAAACTCGAGGCCTATATTATTATTTCAAATGCGCTCAGTAACTCAACGTAAAAGGACAAAACAAGTAGGGCCATGTGCTAGATGCTTCGAGACAGACCACAGCATGCAAAAGCCGGCACGCAGTGCTGGGCGCGGGCGGCGGGAGCCGGAGGGAGGCGCGCGGCGAGCCTTTTCGGAGTCCCGGGGCGCAGCGCCTAGCGACCGCATTCACGGCGTGGAGCGGGCGCGGGGCAGAACACAGCTCAGCCTTTCCACCGTCTCCCCTTCCTCCACCGCTCGGCCCCTTTCCCGCTGGCAAAGCGTCTAGCTCCCGGTTTCCCGTACCGATCTCACTCTGCTCCCTCGTTCACCCTCTGGGAGGGCGGGCGCGGCACCCCAACGCGCAGCACAGCCCTGGAGGGGCGAGGACGAAGCGCAGCCACCGCGGGCGGGCGCGCGGGCGGCAGCCCGACCTTCCCCAGGCGCC